CCCCCCGAGAGGAGAGGATGGGGTGAATCCTTCAGGAGCTGGATGCCCGCAGGAGGGAAAGGAAGGAATTTTTGTCCCTGAGCTCAAGGAGCCTGTGCCAGCCTCAGCCAGGGCTGGGAACAGCCCCAAATTTTAATTCCGTTTTTTTTCTCGGACCTTTCCAGCTCCCAGCTCTGCCTCGCAGCAAGGCCGAGCGTGCCTGGGATTTTCTTTTTTTATTTCTATTTTAAATTATTTGGTCCAAAATTGAGACGAAATTCAACGTACCCAAGGATTTCTCCCAGCCAAAAGCTGCCGGCACCGAGGGGAAAATTTTGACCTCGTAACTCGAGACATTTCCGTGCATCCTCCCTGCCCCGAGGGGATGGCAGCGGTGCCACCCTCCTGTCCCCGGCTGTGCCATCCTCCTGTCCCCGGCTGTGCCATCCTGTCCCCGGCTGTGCCACCCTCCTGTCCCCGGCTGTGCCATCCTGTCCCCCATTGTGTCACCCTCCTGTCCCCCACTGTGCCATCCTGTCCCTCCCTGTGCCACTCTCCTGTCCCTGGCTGTGCCATCCTGTCCCCCATTGTGTCACCCTCCTGTCCCTTTCTGTGCCATCCTGTCCCTCCCTGTGCCACCCTCCTGTCCCCCACTGTGCCATCCTGTCCCTCCCTGTGTCACCCTCCTGTCCCTTTCTGTGCCATCCTGTCCCCCATTGTGTCACCCTCCTGTCCCTGGCTGTCCCACCCTCCTGTCCCTCCCTGTGCCACCCTCCTGTCCCCCATTGTGTCACCTCCTGTCCCTGGTTGTGCCACCCTCCTGTCCCTCTCTCTGCCCCTTCTCTGTATCACCCTCTTGTCCCTCCCTGTGTCACCCTCTCGGTGTCACCCCCCTGTCCCTTTCTGTGCCACCCCCCTGTCCCTCCCTGTGCCACCCCCTGTCCCTTTCTGTGTCACCCCCCTGTCCCTCCCTGTGCCACCCCCTGTCCCTCCCTGTGTCACCCTCCTGTCCCTTTCTGTGTCACCCCCTGTCCCTCCCTGTGCCACCCCCTGTCCCTTTCTCTGCCACCCTCCCTGTGTCACCCTCTCGGTGTCACCCCCCTGTCCCTCTCGGTGCCACCCTCCCTGTGCCACCCTCCCTGTGCCACCCTGTCGCTCTGTCCCCACACGTGGCTGTCTCAGCTGACACCTCCCCCGTGCCAGGCACATGAAAAAGTCAGGCAGGTGCGGCCCGAGGAGCTGCCCCCAAATTCGGGCACCAGCGACGGCTCTGCCCCTTCCCGGAGCGGATTTTGCCTTATTCTCATTTTCCTTCATTGATTTTTCCTTCACTGATTTTTCCTTCACTGATTTTTCCTTCATTGATTTTTCTTTCACTCTGATTTTCCTTCATTCTGATTTTTCCTTCAATCTCATTTTTCCTTTCACTCTGATTTTTCCTTCATTGATTTTTCCTTCAATCTCATTTTTCCTTCAGTCTGAATTTTCCTTCACTCTGATTTTTTTTTCCCTTTCACCCTCACTTTTCTTTCACTCTGATTTTTCCTTCATTCTGATTTTTTCCTTCACTCTCATTTTCCTTCACTGATTTCCCTTCATTCTGATTTTCCTTTCACTCTGATTTTCCTTCACTGATTTTTCTTTCACTCTGATTTTTCCTTCACTCTCATTTTTCTTTCACTCTCATTTTTCCTTCACTGATTTCCCTTTCATTCTGATTTTTCCTTCACTGATTTCCCTTTCATTCTGATTTTTCCTTCACTCTGATTTTCCCTTCATTCTGATTTTTCCTTCACTGATTTTTCTTTCACTCTGATTTTTCCTTCACTGATTTCCCCTTCCCTCTGATTTTTCCTTCACTCTCATTTATTTTTTTCCCTTCACCTCCCGGCGCTGAAACCAGAGCGATTCCCACGGGAATTTCTGCGGCTTTTCGGATTTTTTTAAAATTTTTTTTGTTTGGTTTTTTGATGCTGTTCCAGCCCCGGCAGAGCAGAGGGAGGAGCCGGGGCAGCAGCTCCGTCTGGAGCCGCATTTTTGGGAGGATTCTCCCACCCTCAGGGCGCTCGGGGAGTTGCTCATCCCAAAAATCCTCGGGAAGGGAGGGAGGGAGGGATGGATCCTTCCCAAATTTCAGCAGGAAAGGAATTGCCGAACCTCAAATGTAGCCAAGATAATAATAAAAAAAATAATTAAAAAAATTAAAATTAAAATTAAAATTAAAATTAAAATTAAAAAAAGAAACAATAAAAAGAAAAGAAAAAATAAAAATAATTAAAAATTAAAATTAAAAATATACTAGAAAAATAAAAATAATTAAAAATTAAAATTAAAATTAAAATATACTATTAAAAAAATTAAAATTAAAATTAAAAATATACTATAAAAATAAAAAAATTAAAATTAAAAATATACTAGAAAAATAAAAAAATAAACAATAAAAAACCCAATAAAAATAATTAAAATTAAAATATAAGGATTAAAATAAAATAAAATAAAAATAATTTAAAATAAAAATGAAAATTAGAATGAAAATTAAAATTATAAAAATAAACAATAAAAATAAAATAAAAATAATTAAAAATTAAAATTAAAAACATACAAAACAATTAAAAATAATAAAAATGATCTTTATTATCAGGACCAGGCTGATTTTGTTACACCTGGCGTTGTCTCGCAGAGCAGGTAGAAAAAAAATAAAAGAAAAAGAAAAAAAGCTCTGCCTTCTACTGTTTTTTTTTTTCCCCTTAAATTTTGGTGTTTATTCTTTGACTGAAAAAAAAACCCCAAAACAATTTTAAAATCCTGAGTGTGCTGAGGAATGTGTTGGAGGAAAAGCAAAGGCTGGGGAGTTTTTACAGCCACAAAATCACCCGGAACAGGGAAAACCCAAAGCCAGACCTGACAAAGCCTGGGGAGATTTGGGTCAAGGATTAAAGGATAAAAGGAGCCTGAGCTGAGCTGGAGACCAGGAAATTCTCCTGGACAGCAAAATTCAG